GGGGCGAAGGGTAGCCAATAGGAATCGGAATCCGCGGGAGGGCGGGCGGTTCTAGCAAGCGGGGCGGACCCGAGCCTGCGGCTGAGGTACGGGGGCAAATAACGAACGCCAGAAGTGACACGGGCGGGCGGAGCGACGATGGCGGAGGGTCTCAGAGCTGCGTTGTTGCTGGCTGGCCCCTCCCGTTTTTTCTTCACCTTATAAGTCACGTCGGTTCGCTTTACCCCGCTTGCCGGGACCCCAAGCCGGGGCTGAGCGGGGCGGGGGGAAGGCTCGGAGGCGCCCGGGTGTGGGTGCTGTGAGTGAGGGGAAGGGACAGTGTTGGGTGGGGTGGAAGGGGACGCGGGGTGCCCGCCCGGCGCCCTGGGTCCCGAAGCCTGTCGGGGTGGTGTGACAGGCGCCGAGGGCCAGGGTTAGCTCATCCCCTGGTCTGCGGCCGGCTGCGTGCTCGTGAATACCGCCCCGAAGCGAGGGTGTGCTTCCCGCCCGTTGCCTTCAACGCCTCGTCGCCGTCGCGCCCAGACAGTGAGGCTCCCGAGATGGACCTGACAGGAAATGTCACTTCTAGTGACACGGAGAGGATTCCACATCTCAATCGGCCCAAACTCTCCAGAAAGCGCTTGCTGTGTTACATCTAACGAGTCTGCACTTCGTTCTAAACGTAGGGTACTGCTTGCCCCAGTGAAGATGCTGGATTAGGTGACTGATAGGTCAGATCCAGGATAACACCCTTGACCCTGGAAGACTGACCTTCTCAAGTTGGCAGAGGGAGCCACAGTACAGTTGTTTTTACCCTCATGGGACTCCTCTTGCCCTTAGCAACCTCTGCTTAATCTCAGAGCATAGTACTCCAGCCTAGGGGATTTCCCTCCGCTTTACCTAAATCAGACTCAGGGGTTGTCTCCCACAAACAAAGCCGCCACTCTATGGACATGGCATACAAAGTATTTGCAAAGGCACTTTGCATGTTGTAAACATCCCAGGACATGAGATGAGTTTCACTTTAAGTTTGAGGAGCTTTTACGGTCGATGCCCATGCAAATAATATTGACAGCGTAATCAAACGAACAGGTATTTCAGTAGTGAACAGCATACAGTTGCAAACCTCTTAAGCTTTCTTGCAAACAGAAATTTACTCTCACATTTGATCCCCCAGGAAACCATGCAATTGTAGCATAAAGTTTTAAAAGCAAAGTTTTTCCGTGAGAGTTAATTATCTAACTTGCCAGCACAGCAGTAGTCCCCTCGTTGTGTTGTCTCGACTCCTCATGCACATCAAGGGAAACATGAGGAAGGAGTACACTTTTTAACACTTGCAGAGGTCAAAATCCAAGAACGTGGCTACTCTCAACTATTTTTGTACAAATCCAGTGAAAAAAGCAAACATAATTTTATCTATCATTTGAGCAGTGAGGAGGGGAACATGAGGCAAATAGGAAAGAGGAGAAAAGACTGGCTAAGAGCAGAAGTGTCAGCCTTGCCTTCGCTGCCTACCTTCCCTCTCCCTGCAGGCAGTGAGAACGTGCTTTTCAGAGGAGAGAGTTACAAGTCAGTCTGGCGAAGAATCCCCAAAATGCTATATAAACAAGGGGTTAAACTGCCCCTGGTGTGGCCCCAGTTCTGGTGAGCAGGGCAGAAAGCTCTCAGCCCTCTGAACTCAGGTGGGAAGGAACAACTCCAAAAATGCAGATTTTATCGTTCACTGCTGACAGCGAAAACCCTGGGAGTGCTGAGAATTATGCTGACCCTGAATGCATATGCTTTGTTCTCGCTTTGTACTGATGTTATCCCTTGTGTTCTAGCATGAGGTGTACTTAAGCTCATCTTGCGGCCGGCTGCGTGCTCGTGAATCCCGCCCCGAAGCGAGGGTGTGCTTCCCGCCCGTTGCCTTCAACGCCTCGTCGCCGTCGCGCCCAGACAGTGAGGCTCCCGAGATGGACCTGACAGGAAATGTCACTTCTAGTGACACGGAGAGGATTCCACATCTCAATCGGCCCAAACTCTCCAGAAAGCGCTTGCTGTGTTACATCTAACGAGTCTGCACTTCGTTCTAAACGTAGGGTACTGCTTGCCCCAGTGAAGATGCTGGATTAGGTGACTGATAGGTCAGATCCAGGATAACACCCTTGACCCTGGAAGACTGACCTTCTCAAGTTGGCAGAGGGAGCCACAGTACAGTTGTTTTTACCCTCATGGGACTCCTCTTGCCCTTAGCAACCTCTGCTTAATCTCAGAGCATAGTACTCCAGCCTAGGGGATTTCCCTCCGCTTTACCTAAATCAGACTCAGGGGTTGTCTCCCACAAACAAAGCCGCCACTCTATGGACATGGCATACAAAGTATTTGCAAAGGCGCTTTGCATGTTGTAAACATCCCAGGACATGAGATGAGTTTCACTTTAAGTTTGAGGAGCTTTTACGGTCGATGCCCATGCAAATAATATTGACAGCGTAATCAAACGAACAGGTATTTCAGTAGTGAACAGCATACAGTTGCAAACCTCTTAAGCTTTCTTGCAAACAGAAATTGTTTACTCTCACATTTGATCCCCCAGGAAACCATGCAATTGTAGCATAAAGTTTTAAAAGCAAAGTTTTTCCGTGAGAGTTAATTATCTAACTTGCCAGCACAGCAGTAGTCCCCTCGTTGTGTTGTCTCGACTCCTCATGCACATCAAGGGAAACATGAGGAAGGAGTACACTTTTTAACACTTGCAGAGGTCAAAATCCAAGAACGTGGCTACTCTCAACTATTTTTGTACAAATCCAGTGAAAAAAGCAAACATAATTTTATCTATCATTTGAGCAGTGAGGAGGGGAACATGAGGCAAATAGGAAAGAGGAGAAAAGACTGGCTAAGAGCAGAAGTGTCAGCCTTGCCTTCGCTGCCTACCTTCCCTCTCCCTGCAGGCAGTGAGAACGTGCTTTTCAGAGGAGAGAGTTACAAGTCAGTCTGGCGAAGAATCCCCAAAATGCTATATAAACAAGGGGTTAAACTGCCCCTGGTGTGGCCCCAGTTCTGGTGAGCAGGGCAGAAAGCTCTCAGCCCTCTGAACTCAGGTGGGAAGGAACAACTCCAAAAATGCAGATTTTATCGTTCACTGCTGACAGCGAAAACCCTGGGAGTGCTGAGAATTATGCTGACCCTGAATGCATATGCTTTGTTCTCGCTTTGTACTGATGTTATCCCTTGTGTTCTAGCATGAGGTGTACTTAAGCTCATCTTTCATTTGCTTGAAGGGAAGCTGTTCGAATGGCCTCAGAAGGGCAAAGTGAGGATACAGAGCATCCATCTGAGCCTCCTGCAGCTCCTGTTCAGAGTAACAGAACATTTCAATGGGGAGCCATACTTGCTGCAGTGAAAGATCAGCTTCCATCTCTGGACTCTGACACCTCCACAGTAAGCACTGGAACCTGCCTTTCTTTCTCACTGTGTTTTAGAAAAATCTCTCAAAAGCAAGAGAAGGTCACCTTAGCCATGCATTTCTGAGTAGCGACTATGATATCCTGACTATTGCAACACTGTGCATTAATCCACAGCCTTCTGGATTATCTCTAATTTTCAGAGTGTAATTGCTATCTCCTCTTACTGTATTCTTTGGAACCTGAAGATGGGACTGATTTTTCCAGGTGACAGTATTCCTAGGTTGGGAAGGGGAGAGTAGTGGGCATCTTGCCAGAATAAGCCCGCATTTATTCTTAGCTTTTTCAGTCAAAAATACTGTATGAAAGAAGACAACTGCTGATTTAAAATGAAATGATAAGGTTTTATGCTTGAGGGTATTATGCTATTCAATCCAATCATGTGCTTGCCAGACAGTAGGCCTGTTAGTATGTTTTTCTAGGTATAAGATTCATATTCCTGAAGGCTTTGTGGTCCACTGCAAAAAGCATTTGGCAGATATTTCAATCCTGGATTCTGCTTTTTTCCCTGCTCCTAATTCTCCGCAAGCCACGCTGCCTTTTTGTGCTTCAATTCTACTGGCAAAGCAGCATAATGCCACTAACCTTTTAATATAAAGCATAAGACTGATAGATATTGTGCAGTATTCTTCACCATTATGTGTATTTTACATGTTAGCATTTGGGACAGGCTGCTTCTTGGCTGCTGAAGATCTCTGTTCACAGGACAGCAACAATCTGGTGGAAATAATACAAGTGCCTGCCTCTCTAGTCCAAGATGCTAGCTCTGGCATTGGCTTTTCCAAGGTGATAATGTGTCTCCAGGCTCAATTGTTAGTGGCCTTTTGTCCAAATCAGAATATTTCATTAATTTTCAAACGTATAAACTTGAAAAAAAAATTTTGAATGCTTAAAGGATAACTTTTATTCTAATTTAGTGTGTCCCTTAATGATCCAAAGGGAGTCTTGTGAACAGTGAAGGAGCCAGAAAGGCCTCCATGGGGTATTTATTACTAATCATCAGAAGCAGTGGGATCTAGCAGATAAAGTGTTGATACAGATTCCATGACTTGTTTCTGCACCCGGCTCTATCACTAACATCTTGGACAGGTTATGTCGCCTCACTGTTTCTCAGTTCCCCTCTACCTACATTCTGTTTCAGTTACTTAAAACAACCATTGTGTTTTCATATGTGTCTGTATAGTATAGATTAAGGCCCAGCACTCACGAGTTATTTTTAGGCATTCTTGTTGTACAAGCATACAATAAGGTTAAGACAGAGCGATAGCGCTGTACTTTGGTGCCGAATACCATTCTATACATGACAATGGACGTTTTTTTTACTTACAAACAATCTCCAAATTCTTTTGGCACTTACATGCTACCCTTAATTTGCATTCAAAAGATCTGGTTGTATAATCCCTCTCCTGCTTAATGTGAAACAGTAGCCTGCTGAGCCTGCAGTTTCAGTGCCACACCTTTGTCCCAGTGGTTTCCACTTGTGTGAAAATACATTTATGCATTTGAGTTCTGTACCCTCAGTGGGCTGTGCTCCTGCATTCGAAAAGGGCACTGACAAATGTGTTTTGTGCCCTGAAGTACTTTCATTACCAGGATACGCAATTTATTAAGAGGAAAGAAGTTCCGTTGCAGTTTGCTTCATGTTAAGAAAAACTAATTACACCAGTCAGAGAAAATTTTCTGAAGTGTGAGTTACTGAAAGTGTACACTTGCAAAACAAAGGGCCAAGCAGGAAGTGTGCATCCTGACTGCTGAGGAGGTGCTTAATCTCACTTTGGTGTCTACGCATAAGGATTCAACTCAAATGCGTATCTTAGGTTCAGAAAATAGATTTTCAATGCTATTTAAACTCTGTCCAAACCAAATCTAGATACTGCTTTGCATTCTGAATAGTGAATGTCAGCGTCCTGATGACACTAATAAGCCATCATGGCCCTGCCCAGCCTCAGCTGTGGCTCCCACCCACATGCCCTGCAGCTCTATTTAAGCTCAGCTCTGGGTCTTCAGTCTTTGTCTGAGCTACATCTGAGGAGTGCTAGTTTCTAGCTACAGTCCTGCTTGCTCCAGGATTTTGCCTGTGAATTCACTTTCAGGCTCGATCTCTGACCTGCCTCATCACTGCAATACTGCCTTATGATCTGGGTTCCTCACCCAACCTGGTCACTGCCTCTGGGCTGTCCTGCTTGCTCCTCTTGGGTACTGTGGGATGGGGCTTTGGCTGGTGAGGCCCTTGCCTTTCTTTTTACGTGTTTCCCCTCCCAACTCCCCTTCCCCTAGGCAGCGGCCCTGCTCTTGCTATTCTGTGCTGGTGAATGAAGTAGTACAAAGAATCACTTGGGAGTTAGAGAACTTGCCTGCCCTTGTCATCGCTTTGCTCAGAGGGATGTTAGTCATCAAGCTCTGTGGTAATGCAGTGTTTTAGATGGGTCTTACAACTGCCACTTGCTCTAGTGTTAGGCCACTGTAAGACGGCCTAGGTTGCTGAGTGTTGGGCTATCAGGCTGTCTGATGTGATGATGTGACTGCAGAGAAAATTCTTGTCTCTGAACTTCAGTCAAGTGGTGACAACATAGGATTTGTCACTGCAAAAGAGATATCTAGGTGAGTATTGCAGTCTCTCATTTAATTTATTTTTTTTTTTCCTTCCTTTATTTGCAGTCAGATTGTGAGAGTGATGGGGAGCTTTTCATCTTCCAGCGGGAACAGCCAAACTTGATTCCTGATCTGTCAGAAGAACTGATGGAGTTTTCCCTGGAAGACTCAAACATGCAGGTTGTTGACTGTTGTGTGCAGGCTGTACTACTGTAACCCCGCTCTTCTGGTTGTCTCCAGTGTGGGTAGCTGCTGTTATTTGACTGAATTGTGTGACGGAAGCGTGTACTCCCCAGTACTTTCTCCCACTAGAGACTAGATCTTGCTTTCTCTTTATACAGTGAGCCTTTAAAGTTTTCTCTGTTCTTGAGGTTTTAGAGCTTTTTTTGCCCCATCTCCTTGCAGTTTTTATTATTGTCCTTTTGCTGTTTTTTTTTTTTTTCTGTGCACTAACAATCACACTGTGCAATGACTCCTAAATTTTTCAGGTTTGGAATAGTTTGAGCCACCATTTTAGATATATGTAGAAAATGGAGAATTAGTTAGGAGAGTGGGTCCTAAGTAAGGAGGATGAGTATAAATTTCATCCCATCAACACCTTTTCTGAGGTAAAATGATTACATTGTGTCAGCAGCGATGAAGACTAGCCATCATAGGAAGCTGGTGGGGAAGCTGGCTGACCCTGGTGTTTCGTCATGGGAAAACTAACTTTATACTGTACTGCTTTTCCATTTGTTTATCTTGCTGTAAGAAATGTCATATGATGAGCAGATGTAACGGAAATTAATTTCAAGGATGTTTGATACTTCCTGAAGTTGGACTTGGAAAGTAAACAGTCTTACTGTTTTCCATGATGGATATGGTGTGTGCTGTTACCAGATGGTGTCTGAGTTGGAGCTGCTATCTGCCAATCACTTTGTTTGGCTTTACTGTCAGCTTCTAAAGTTTAAGGAGATGTGACTTTCTGCAAGTGTGTATTTTCTCTACCTGTAGGAAACCCAGGAAACAGAAAGACACCCATTGGCGATCTGGAATGAAGATCTGGAAAGTTTTGACATTCAGAAAAAAACAGATGGTGCCCAAGTTGTTGCAAAAGAAGACATACAAATGACTGAAGATGAGACTCCTAATCTTGCCAGCCATACTGTAGACATTCCAAGTCAAAAGGAAGCTGTTCTTGAAGAGTCTCTTGCAGATTCCACAGATCCCCTCAAAGACGAAGAACTGGACAGGAAGCAGGCCAGAGAAAGAGGGAACTCTTGGCTTAATACAGCATTGTCTGTGGAAGAGTTGGACAGTCAAAAAGAGAGAAGGAAGCTGATAGAGACAAAGATACTCTCCAAAATAATTCTGGAGCTGTCACCAGGCCACCCAGAGCTTGATGTCAAGCCTCCCTCTTGTGGCATTAGCAACAGTCTAGAAAGAATTGCTGAGGAAGAAACCTCCTCGGATGAGTGTCTTCAAGAACGAACCCTTTTCTCATTGCAGGTAAGTGGCCCAAATAAATGGGTTTGGTGAGTGCTGCTTGTGGGGTAGAGGGCACAGTGCATTGCTCGCAGAATTCCTAAAATAAAGAACTGAAATGCCAAATTGTGCACAGGCCCACAGCTGCCTTTGCTTTCATCATTGTCCTGAATTTGAGGTTTGTTGGGTCATGTGCTATCCCAGCTGCCAACAAACTATCTTTGTCTCATAGAGCTGTCATTAAAAGCCCATAATGGTAGCAAAAGCCATGGGTCAGCAGCATGGTTCATGGTTTCATTCAGGAAAGCCAACCACAGCATCTGCACCCAGGAAGGCGGGGAACTCATCTGGTCCCAGGCAGACTTTGCATTAAACCAGTGAGCTTTCCGGCCTTCCAGCATCTTGGCTGTTCTGTAGTGCTGTGGAAATGCTGGAGGTGGGGAGAGAAGGTGGGTAGGGTTGTGCCTTAAATCTCGAATCTCTTCCACCTGAGGCAGGTGCTTAGGTCTGTGGGATGCCCCTCTCCCAGCACAGAGAGGCCTTTCTCATCAGTACCGTAGTTACAGATCTCTACTTCCTGTATTGATTTTCAAGGTTGTTAGGACTTAAATCAGCACAGAACGTGAGCCTGATACCTCTGTTCAAAGCCTTCTGTAGAGTCAGGTTACAGATGTTTCCTTTCCCCTTTCATCTACACTCACAAAACTTTTTGGTGTTAGAGTGGTTCTAGTGGAGGCAAAGAATGCAGGTGCTTGCTGTTTTTTTTTTTTTTTTAAATTGTGCTGCATCATTTAATCATGCCATCATTGGAGGGGATCTTTTTCAAGTGGTTCTAGGTTTAATTCCCATCTCACTTCAGTCAGTTGCTCTATTAATTCAGGAGGCATGACTTTCCTTTTGGAACATGTTTGATATCACTGACTTCAGCAAACTAAGTCTGATGCTTCGGCTATGTGTGAAGATGTATTGCTCTGGACAGAGTGAGAATCTTCCCTGAAATGGGAGGGGCAGACAACAGAGGTTTTTACAAGGCAAAACTGTGTTTTGGGGGCTGCTTCTGGTTTTCTAAAGCTCTTGAGTGGCCATATGAAATGCATGTTAATTGTAGTTGTGATATAATTGTCATTATTGACAGTCACCTTCCCTTTTTTAAAAAAAAAAAAATCATGAGTACTTCTAAGTTCTGGTGATGGTATTTCAGATGGATGTAGATATTTTAATTAAAACTTTAATTTCAAATAATATTCAGAGGGGAAAGTAATCAGTGTTTTAAATGTGTGTGAACTTTTGTCATTGCGGAGTGGTTCTCGCACCTAAGTTAGTGTGCCGTGTGAGCATACCCTCAGCCAGTGTATGTGTGATTCACAGCAACAAAATTGATGATCCTACCTTCAGGGTGGGATAAACGGCTGTGAGATTGCAGCTGATGCTGACTGTGCCTAGAGGAATGGGAATGTCCCCTTGTTGGAGGGGAAGGAAAAGACCTTGGGCCTCATCTCAAAGAACTGAAAAGCCAAAAGTCCCTCACATTTTAGTGGCAGTAAGAAGTTCTTGGCATTATTCAGGATCAGAATATGTATGCTTGGTCTTGTATCAGGCCATCTTTTAATCTGTTTTACAAGCTACAGAAAACAACTGGAGATAGTATCAAAAGGATTCATGATTCTCAGAGAAAAAGCCTCAGCAGCAGTAGGTGAAGCAGCTGGATAGATGTACTGTCCAAAAAGACTTAGTAAATGTATTCCTTGCATTACAGCACTTCTGGAACTGCTTAAAGCAAGCTGGCAGTGTAGTTAGGGGCATCATCTTTTGGAAGCAGTGAAAGGGTGAAGAAAGGTACTTGAAGGGACGGGCAGAGGACACTAAAATACATGGGGATCTCATACTGTTAGTGGGTCTGAGGGATAAAGTATTTGCTGTTGGAAAGACTCTACCATGTGAAGGACACAACATGAGTTAGGTCCCAGCTTATGGAGAGAAGGGTCAGGTGGATATTTAGGTTAGGCTTATATTTCTCCTATAAGGAACTGTCAGTTCAGTCCATTCTAGAAACATCTTCTAGACTTTGCATTTTAAGTGGGGAAGGAGAAGGTACTCTACCTTTATTCTATTTGAATGAACATCGCTTAATCCTTCACTAGTTTCTCTTAGTAATTATACTGGCCTTCCCTGTGCTAGATATGCAGAGCCTTGGCAATGGCATGAGGCAAACAGTGTTCAAACAGTAAATATCCTTTTGTTAGTCATGCCAATTGTTGAGGCTCATGCTGAAGAAACCATGTCCAGAGTGACACTCTGCTTCATCTACTGGCAAGTGACAGTGGTGTAGTTCTGGGGAAAAGTACGGGGAACTTCCATGCCATTTGTTTGTTTATATGTGCCAGAAGTATCTCATGGAGTTACTACAAAGAATGTGAGTCAAAGGTACTTTTATGTTGTAGCAGTCTCTTGGAAGTGAATTTTCCCTCACAGTTCAACTGTCTTTTTTTTCAGAATATTGACAAATGGGATCTAGACAAGATTCTTGAGGAGCTGGAGCAGCAGAAAGATAACACTCATGCAGAAGTTGCTTTCTCCTCAGCAGATTATGGTAACACTGCTAAATTAGTACCAGCTTTGCTGCAAGTGTATAAAAATAAATAAAACTCAGGTTCTTGGGCTTAAGTCATTCCCTGCAGCATCATCTGGAATGTTGAAATTGCAGTGTGTTTTTTTTTTTAATGCTTCTGTAAAACATACTTTTAATTAAGTAGCTTCCTTCAAGATTTAATCTAGCTTTGTAGCTCGAAACCAGTGCTTTGTGGCCTGTTGTGGCCTAAGAGTGAATCAGACAAGAGGGATGAAGGTTTGAAGTCCAGATGACGCTAGTATCTTTCTCCTTCCCTTTCTGACAGACTGTAGAGAAAGGGACAATGTGAAGATGGGGAAAGGGAATATTGGGTGATCCCATGGCAGAAGACCACGACTGGTGATTCTTTTTGTTGCTCTTCCGTAGAGACCTTCAGGGGTAGGTCTGAAAATCAGCTCATGGAAAAGCTAGAAGAGCTGTGTGCCAGGCAGTCCAGGACAATGTCTCCACACTGCAAGTGGCCATCAGCCAAGCTCCTCTCCTTTCAAGAACAGCAAGAGAATAAGAAGTAGGTCCTTTTCTGTCATACACTAAGTAGTTATGACTGCCAGTAGGGGTACCTGGAAACTCGTGGTGTTCTATAGGTGCTTTTCTCTGTAGGCTCTGAGAAAGCTGATCGTGTAGTTGGGGTATGCTACAGGGATATTGAAGGGAACAATTAAGACTCAGTCATTTGTGTACATTTGATGACAAGCGGCCAGTATCCCGCCACGTTAGCATTCCCTGTCAACCACCACCTTTGCCTGGACCTTACCAGACAACTGGGACACATGGGAAAGGCAGGAAAATAAGGCTAAGCAAATTATCATGGCCATGGGGTCTTTGTCATCTAGGGTACTGGTTTCTCTCACTGGTATCACAATTTAGCTGAAGTGTACAGGATGATTTTTTTATTTGGTAGGTATCAGTGGAGATACCAGTGCATCTTGGAGAGTTCTGTGGAGGAAGTGGATTTCCAGACTGTTCAGAGGGAATAACATCAGTGGTGGCAGCACAGAGGAAACAATAGTGAAACAAGCCTGTAAAGGGGAGGGTGCAATGAGGATACTCTTCCAGAGCAGGGAGAGCCACGAAGATGATTTACACTTTGTATGCTCTCAAGGATAAAATAGAATTGCCAAAAGAGGCAGAGAGGAAAAAGGGACCTGTTTTCACTGGGCTCTTAAAACTTGTAAGCTCTTTGGTACCATAACTGCCTACCTTTGTTCTACAGAATGATTTGACATTGTCAGTTTTTAAGAACTAAATATCCCTTATTATGCTGCCTGTGGTCTGTATTCCTCTGGGGAAGCTGAATCTTTGAGTTCAGCTTTGTAAGGTGGTGGATAGTAGGCGGAAGCAGAGTTTGAATCTGTACAGTAGCCAAGCACAAAGCTCCTTTCACAATCCAATTTTAATCATAATCCACACCCTGCAGGACTTCTTGGCTGGATAAGGCAGAGGACATGCTGAAACAGTGTTTTCTATACTTAGGGATGTTGCCTTCTTATCGTCTTCACGAAGTTCTCTAAGGATGGACGTGATGAGATTACAGTGCCTGCCAGAGCCTGCAACTGTGTGCTTAGATTTAAGAGATGCTAAACCGCAGAAGTCAGTAACATCCCCCGAGGAGAAACAAAGGTAAATTCTGGCTTTATTGTTAGTGAGACATAAGTAACAAAGTAGGGAATTGAAACCTTCTCTCTACATCTCTTACTTGTGAAATATAACTTTAAAAATGTTGTCTTCTTCCATACCTTTGTTGACCTTAGTAGGAAGGCAATAGCCCCTATCTGAGCACAGACGTATTCTCCGGAGAGAATAACTTATCTTGGAACAAGTAAACGTGTGGGGATGCAGGCAGCACAAGAAAGGACATGCATATAATCCAGGGAAATAACATTTAGCAAGTTGCCATCTATAAAGGAGTGGGCAGTGACTGCAAAGCAATGCTTGCAGCTGTCTGAGTTGGGCTAGCGTTCTGACAGCACTGTGTACAAAATGGACATCCTTGACTACATTCCTGGCGAGAAACCGTAGGTGCTGATTTCTGTTTCCTGCGTGATAAGAGGGCCTTATATAGTCAGTTATGGGAAGCCAAATTCTTAATCTGCAACAGATCCTGGCAAACACTTCCTTTCCCTGAGAAGCAAATGATGTCCGAGGTAGCTGTTTGCTCCCTTCTCAGGATGTGTAGTTGCTGCAGCTAGAGGTTGAAGAAAACCATCACCAGAAGAAGCCTTGTAGTTAATAAACCGCTAACACATCTTAATGTAGTTGCTTGAATTTTTTTTTGCTATAGTGTGAAGAACTGTCTATAACAGCTGGAAGTATCTCTCCCTTTTCATAATGGCTCTAAATTTGCATCCTGTAAATGGCAAAAAGCCAACACCCAGTTGGAACAGAGTTACTAATACAGTCTGATTTGTTTCACAGTACAAGCGACAGCTCCACTGAAGAAGAGATGACGACAATTAAGGACCAAGCAGAAAGGAGAATGTAAGATTCTTTACCAGGACCCTAGTTCAAATAATACGATGTTCATGTTTTCTGAAACTAAAATAGCTGTCCTAACAGTAACTAGTGTGAGATCTTGCATACTGAAATATCTCCATTCCTGGTCTTCACAGCAAAAAAACCCCAGTAATGAAAGTGCTTCAGTCTGGCCCCAGGAGATCACTTTGTTGTATGATGAAGATACCAAAGCTAGAAAATAGCTGTTGATCCTTGAGGCAGAATAGCACCTCGCCCCTGTACAGCTGTGCGGAAACAGCTCCAAAGACAAATGGAGCAGACCTGGGTGGCTGGGAAAGCTGACTCTACATGGCTGAGTGACGCGAGAACTGTTTTTTAAATGACTCAGAAACAAACTTTGAAAATGTTGTAGGGAGTTGACTCAGACAAGCCTTTATGTTTAGAAATAATAAAATAGGCTAGAATGGATGTCAATGTAAAGAGAATATTGAATACATTGTGTGGGCAGGGATGCTCTCAATTCTCCTTAATTGGGGGGGAGGAGAAGAGGAAGAGGGGAAAGGGGAGAGAGTGCGGTGGATGGAATCCTAAGCTGTAAAGTCTTCAGTATGCACAGATGCCAGCCTTTTCCTGTTGCTAAACTCGGGGCTTGATTCACACCCATAATCTGTTAGACATTTGTTTAATGTGAAGCAGATATGTCAAGCTTTAAACATCTTATTGCATTTACGCTCTGGATTACATTTGGAAGTCCGATGCAAGTTCACGTCACAGCGGTGCAGAGGACAAGCAGAACATTTGTATTGTTGTGCCAATTACTCTTTTTGTTTGTTTGTTTTAATGGTTTGAAAGAATAAATGATTCGACAAGGAACAGAACCTCAACACTTTTTATAATTTAGAACATCTAATCTAAAAGCAGCGTATAGCAGGGACAAGATGATGCTTGGGGGAACTATCGCTGGCACTGATGCAAATGCAGAACTTGCATCAGCGTAAATCTGGAGTGATGGAGAGCAGAGCTTAGCTGATTGGATTTTGATTCGGTTTAATGTTGCTAAAGAACATAAACAAACAAATTAAATGCCTGACAAATGTTATTCAGTTCTGTTTCTAAATAAGAAAGTCTTATGGCCTCAGCAGGGCAAGATTCTGATTTCACTTACGAGGGGTCAGTGCCAATTTCCCTCTTATCTGGATGGAATTATTAAACAGAGCTACGTAATCTGTAGTACAATATACTTACATATTGGGGCCTTGGAGGGTTAGTAGTCTTCATCTTCAGGCACTTAGCCTAGAAAATATGTTGTTGGTTTATCACTGGAGTGCTCAGGTAGTCAGTGCCATCTCTAGTACTGTACCATAAGGCTGCTCTCCAATATATATCCCACTCCTAAAATTACCACTACTTAAGCATACTCCTATAGCAAATTGCCAGTAAGATCAGCTTCATGTTATGTCACTGCAGTGTTCAATGTGTTGCCTGTGTGCTGGTGCTGTTATCGCCAATAGCTGCTATTTGTGTAGATGCCCAGTCCTTGTTTTGAGCTGTCACTCATATGAGAAGTTCCTCAGAATTTGAATTTATTCATATAGCGCTCTATCTTGATTTAATCAGGTTTTATATTTTCTTTGCAGGAGGAATTGCTCAGGAAAAAGCCGGCTACTGCAACAACTCCATACAGCCCGAAAAGAAGCCTCAGAGCGTCATGAAGTGTCTACCCCAGCTGAAAAACTTGAAGGCATAAAACAGGATCCAGAAAGTCTGGAAGAGATAGGTTCCTCTGAAATAAGTCAAACCCCCTATTTTAAAGTGAGGCAAGAGACAAATCAGGTGATTCCCAGGAAACTGATGAGATTGAAACCAGAGAAAAAAAATACCCCCTTGTCAAGCTGTGGGAGCAATGGAGCTGACATAGAAAAAGAAAACATAATGGAAGTTGAGAAGGTTCAACGTTCAGGAAATGTTCCCGACTCTCCTCTAACTGCCACTGAATTGCCAAGGTATCACACAAAAAAAATGAATATAGTATCGATTGAGGAAATAGCAGAGTTATTTGGGCCTCTACCTCCTTGGGCTTAGTTTAATGTAATGTATTCTGCGTAAGGTCTAATTTTAAAGTGAAATCAGGTGGTTGCCTTATGTACCTGTCCAGCTATTTGGGAGAGCTCCATTATGCTGACTTTTCAAAGGTTACATTCTGCCTGCTATTTTCAGAGTGAAATTTAACATTTTGACTTTGATACGTGAGCCCTTGAAAGAATTAGAATCTGCTTGCTCTAGAGACTCTTACTTTTTCAGTGTTAAACAGTTGCCTACCCAGCCACTCAGACACTTCAGCTACCGTGTATACTTGGTTTAAATGGCAGATGGTTGGTTGCAGGTTTTTTTTCTCTATGGGATTCCTGACATTAAAGCTCATTGCTTCCATCGGTTCTGTAAAACTCCATTTTGCCTACCTGTTAGCCTGCAACATAGATGGCAGACCATGGCTTGGCAAGAATCTGGGTTATTTATTGTTGCTGAGTAATAGCTCACAATGATTTTAAGGAATTTCAGTTTTCTTTCTTGCTATTCTATTTATTTCTGGGGCACCTGACGCTTGAAGAATTCAGGAGAAATTGAACTTAATATTTGGCATGGAAATGGCAGATGAAATCTTTCTGCCGGTATCAAAATATAGAAAGATGGAAGGCCTTGGTGCAGGGGGTGTCACTGTATTATCGCAGATAGGAAAGGAAATGGAGTTAGACTGAGAATTGTGGTGTGGAGATGGGGAGTGAAACATCACAAACACGCCTCTGCTTAATGGAGTTCTGGTCTCCAAATAGATTGTCACCACTTATCAGAGGCTTGAGGTCTGCTCCTTTCCTTTGGTTTTTTTGAGAGATGATTTCATCCAATGACAACTTCTTGTGTCCCCCCACAAACACCGTAAGCGCTTTCTAAATCTATTTTAGCCTTTCGTGTCATGATTCACCCTCAAGTGTGTGGTATAAATACAAGAAAAAAGAAATGCAAACAGATGAACAAGGGTGCTTTTTCTCCCAAGTGAAAAGCTGAAGCAAAGCAGAATCTGTATATTTTTCAGGACAGAAGAAAGTAAGAGAGATCTATCCCAAAAGGAAGAACAGATGAAAGAGAGACAGAGGAGACACAGATTCCAGGAGCAGCTGGAGCGATTGCAGCCTCAGCAGTCAGTTACTGGAAAGCAGCCCATGGCAGAGAAAACCCCCGTTTTGTTCCACATGGTTAGTAGTTCAGTGTAGGACTGTCCCTTTCAGAATGGCTTCCTGGCCAAATGCAAATGTGAACCTAGAAGCAAAAAGTCGGTGCATTATTTAAAACCCATTTGTTATGGAGCACCATTACCTGGTGAGGTGAGCAGGCCTACAGCTCTTATCTCATGCTAATAATATTTTTCTGACCTTTCCTGTATGGGGCGTGCTCCCCTCACAGCTGCCCACCATGCTTGACCTGTTGGGGTATGGCAGGAGTCCAGGCTTGCTGAAGTCAGTGGGCTCAGTGTCATCTACTTCACAGGAGCAAGACTGTCAAACATGATTTTTCATAACTTTTTAGAAAAACTGAAATATTTTTACTGTCGTATTTCTAAAGCAAAGCCTGTGCTGAGACCTGTCTGGTTGTCTGCCCCTAGCAGCTTTATATTTCAGTTTTGTGGGTAGGTTTTGAGGATTGTGGCTTTAGTAATAGGTTTTGCTTTTGGCTGATGTTCTGATTAAGGGAGTATGAAATTACCCTGATTTTTCCCAGAGCCTAAAATACGACTCGGAGGACAGGGCTGTATTTCCTAGTGAGATTTGTATATGTAATCCTAATTCATCCTTTTACTGATATCACTGAACACAAGGCAAGCTGAGAAGATAAAGAGGAGATGAGAAACTCCAGAATTTGTCCAGGGGTCCACTGCTGTGATTTATTTGCGCCAGTAGCAATACCAAAACTCTGGTCAGTACAAAAGTTGAAAGACCTTACAGCCCTAGCTTGGGGGATGGACCATTCAGATTTGTTTGTTTATTTCTGCAAATTGAAAGCTCTTTTTTTTTTTTTTTTTTAATACTGGATTAATTGCTGGTGAGAAGTACAGGACTAACAAGCTGACGGCTGAATTCGCCTCTTGTCAGCCTGCTCTGCCAAGGACAGTGCCCTGCAGAGCTCTGTTTTGAAGGTTGCAAAGGTTGTCATTCCAGTATTCAGACCTGCTCCTTTCTTGGTCTGCTGGGAGGTACCACCAAATTCCAGTTAGCCATTATTAAGGTGCAGGCGCTTTCTTGCTTGTCAGAAATATACTTGAGCCTTGCTAACTCATTCCTGCCAATGCACCCACTGATTGCTGAATTGTTCTCTGTCTTGGTCATTTCCCATATTTGCTGTGCTGAAGCCAATAAAAGGAAGATAACGACTTGGTAATGTGGTTTCTCTCAAGTATGGCTCAGGATGTATCTATCTATACAGCTCAGGGTATACAGTCTTGCTATAACTGAATCCCAGTGTAAATATGCCCGTAATAACTTTAATGATATTACTGCCAGCTAGTCATGGCAGTGCAGACATTGGCATAAGCCAACCAGCCCAGGATTTCCTCAGCTTCTGATGCTAACTGGTACCTAAACAAACTGCCAGCCTGCTTGAGGGAAACCTGCCTGAACTTACAAGGCACTGTTGAAAGAAACAAAATCAGCCCAACCTGTAATAACTGTTCCGCAGGCAACTTTGCTCTTAGTTCTTCTTCAGAAATATTCATTATTAAAATTAAGACTGAAAAAATGTATCGACATCATCTATCAAATACAACAGTCATTTATAAGACTACTTGAAATTCATCTTGACAGCAGCATTTTTTCTTTGAATTAGAAGAGGTTTTTCTTTTCCTTTTTTCCTTTGCTGCACATCGGAAGACAGAAAAAACTTGAATGTTTTGACATTTAGAACTAAAGAAGCTGTAATTTGGCAGCTGTGTCTCTCAGTGAAAATATCTAATACCTATATATAAACACCTATATTCAAAGAACAAGCCACAGTGTTTGACAGAGTAGCACACTTTCAAATTTGTTTTTTAAGCCCTTTGTTTTGGCAGTGATAGATGTTCAGATCTGGAACACTTGTCATAGTTTCCAGAATTCCTCTGACCATTTAAAATGTACATAAATAATTGAATTGAATAATAATCAGAGGGAAAGTTTAGAAACTCTGCAATTACTGTAACTGAGGTGCTGGGAAAGAAACACAGAGAAAATTTTAAAAGCTGCATTAGGGATACATTTGAGCTCTTGTCTAAATCTAAAAGCGGTGAAATCAGATTTAATGCTGCTGTCTTTTTTTTTTTTTTT